GAGAGAGGGAACACAAGCAGGGAGAGTGGGAGAGGGAGAAGCAGGCTTCCCACCGAGCAGGGAGCCCGACGCGGGGCTCAATACCAAGACCCTGGGATCATGACCTGAGCCAAAAGCAGACGCTTAATGACTGAGCCACCCAGGCGACCCTGAAAAAAAATTTTTAACGCAACTTATAACACTGAAAATTATGTAACTCCTTTCACGAGTGGTATCAAACGTGGACTAACAGTCCCCTAAAATCTGCTAGATTGGAAAAAAGATTTGTAAATTGCACTGAAAGCTTAGAAAGAACTAGATATTAGTATTCATATGTTAAGTTCATTTTCAAAACCAGAATAATCTTTTACATACGCAAGTCACAAAAAAACAGTAGCAAGGTAATTAGAGTGTGGTTATCTGTAAAGCACGGGGCAGGTAAACTGTTCTAAATTCCTAAGTCAGTCCCTTAGTTGAGTGTTTGGTCCCTTAGTCCCTTAGTTGAGTGTTTGGTCTGAGAAGAGACGAAGGCTCTTGGCTCATCTGCAGAAGACTCCATCGGTCTCCCACCAACAGCTAAGATGTGACTACTTATCTGGTGCTTCTATCCTTCTATGTTCTCAGGAGGAACAAACAAGGTGATTTTCCTGCAGACTTACTTTTTCAACCTTTTAGTTAAACAATAAAGGCACTCATACTACAAATTCAAAATTTAACTGATACATTGAAAGTCTCCTTTACCTACACCCTCCCAGAGGTAACCACTGTACTTGGGCTGGAGTACTTGCTTTCAGGCCTTTTTCCACTTGCTACTTACTTTCTAGTCAGTACTCCATTCTAAGTTCTTCTCGTGTTCTTTTATTAGAGCCATATATATATATATATATTTTAAGTAATCTCTACACCCAACATGAGGCTTGAACCTACAACCCTGAGATCAAGAGTAGCATGCTCCACCAACTGAGCCAGCCAGGTGCCCCTAGAGCCATGACTTTTAAGACTACTTAAATAATGTGTGGATAACTCCATGACAACATAAAACACAATGCACTTCTACCATACCTGTTTTCAACAAGTGGTTCTTTTTTTTCCTTCCCCTTTGGTCATTTTTTCGTAAATGTACGTGAACCTACATCAATCTCTCACAACTAACACCAATGTGTAACCACTAACCTATTAATCATTCTGGTTGCTTTCTGATATTTCGCTACTGTAAAGAATCCTGCAGTGATGACTTCCTGTATGTTTTGGGCACGTATCTAAGTGAAACTTCTGGATCAAAGAAAGTGCTTAATCAAATTTGTAAAGCTGCCCTCCAAACAGGCTTGGGTTCCCAAGTGTTGCTGTCCTTCCATGGGTTTCAGAGGCTGAGAAAAGACAAAAAGGGAAAAGGCAGACGGTGGTGGGCTTGTGAAAAAAGAGGCAACAATGGGAGGTGCCCACAAAACTCACCAGGATAGACCAGGAAGTCACCCCCGAACTTGCCAGCAGCACTGAGGAAGAAGCCTCGTTCCCACAGGTCTCTGTAGATGCTGTAGCGAAGCTCATGGGCAGGACGACCAGCATGGGGCCAGTCTTTGGACTGGACACGCCAATCCAGGGGCCTAGCCTTGATGGGTCGAGGCCTAGCAGTGGCCAGCTGGACCAGCAGGGCGGACCTGGGCAGGGGGGCCACCCCATTTGAAGGCCCTGGCTGGGGAGAAGAGGAACCTGGGGGAGGTGAATGCAGGAGTTTGGTGAATCCAAGGACAAGGTCTTCCCATCCCTCAGAGAGTCCCAGGCCCTCGATTCCCGGCCAGGATTCCCAAAAGATCTCCCGCCTACTTCCACTGGTCCCTGGACTCCACTCCTACCCTCACCTGCTTCCTCGGGCTCTCCAAGAGCCTGGCTAGCGCTGGCCTCACTCTCTGCAGCATCCGGGTTCGCACCGGCCTCCTGGCTCTCGCTGGCCTCCAATTCCTGTTCCAGCTTCTGCTTCTTCGCAGCTTGGCCCTCCGCAATCTTCTCTAGGAGCTCCTGACGACGAGTCTCACGGGCCTCGGCTGCCAGGGCGCTTTGCTCCTGGAAGCCCTGCTCTTGCTGGCGTTTGAAGGATGCCAGGGCCTAAGAAGTAAGCCAGCGGGAATCCCAGGATCCAAGTCTGAGCTGCCTTAGGAAGCCAGGAACCCTGACTCGCTGACTCCTCCCAACCCCAAAGCCCGAACCCGGGGATCCTAGTCTCCTGCATGCACAGTATTCCAGAATCCAGGGCGCCCAGACCCCTCCCACCGCAGGGACCTGGAGTCCGAGGGTCCTGCCTCTACTTCCGCAGGTCCAGGGCGTTCACGTCCCCGGCCCGCCCCTTACCAGGCTGTGTTGGCGCGGATCCGGGCGCGGGGCGCTGACCAGAGTCACGGCGCCGATCTCGGCCAGAAGCCGCGCCTCTTCGGGCATCAGCAGCAGCGGGAGGCCCAGGCGCGAGTTCTGGCGGGGCCCGCGGGGCAGGGCGCCCACCGTGCGGCCCCCCACTCCCAGACGCTCCCGCAGTGCCTGCACCGCCTCGGCTCCCCATACCAGGGAGCGGCCGTTCGCCACCTCCACCACCAGCATCCTCCTGCGGGAGCCAGGGGGGCCCAGAGGTCACCGACAGAGCGCTCCCACCGCCTCGGGGTGGGGGATGGAGGGTCTCAGCGAGGCCCCGCCCCTGAGCCTGGGGGAGTGGAGCCTCGCCCGGGCCGCGTTTGCCACCTGCCGATTCTCCAGGCCAGGCTCCGCCCCCTGGGCGCCGGGCCCCGCCTCCTGGGCGCCGGACCCCGTCCCCACCCAGGCGATCCCGCCAGGCCCCGGGGCCGACGAGACGAGGGCCCGCCCCTCGCCTAGTCGCTGGGGCGCCGCTGGGCCCTCCCAACCCTGCGGTCAGCGTTCCGGCCATCCCGCCTTCTCCGCTCGGAGAGACACCGCCCTTAGCGCGGGGCCACACCCCGCTCCGAGTGACTCGGAACTCGGCCCCTCTCCTTTCCAAACCACCGAGGCGTGGCCTCAGAGCCTCCTCGCGCGGTGTCAGACGCCCACCGTAGAAGCCCCGCCCCCCCGGCGCAAGGCTTTCGGGCGTTCGGACCTCCTCGGCCCGGCCGAACTCGCAGCCCCGCCCCTCCTGAAGGCCGGCGGCTCGGCGTTCGGGCGCCCTCGGCTCCCATCAACCCCGCAGCCAGGCCCCGCCCCCTCCGGCCGCAAGCCCTCCCGGTTGGGGAGCGAGTACCCGCCCCACCGAGCGAACCCCACAGCCGGAGGCCCCTCCCACTGGACACCCGCCATCCGTTCCCCGCTCGGGCGGGCTCACCCCCCCACCCCGTGAGCGCTCCCCTCAGAATGCAGCACCGTGCTCCGATAGAACCAGTCACCTCGTAAACACCAGCTCGCAGTCCCGGCGGAGCCACCCCTACGTAGCGCGCCACGCGCTACTTCCTCCACCCCTCCCCATCCCGAACCCCTGCGTCAATTTCGTCACGCCGCCACCTCAGCGAAGCGGGAAGTCTGGGATCCGCCCCCAGTGGCGCCGTAGCCCCTGAAGTGGAACACCTTGGCCCCGCCCCCTCGGAGCGACACTCCCTCCGCCGCTTGGGTTCCGCCTCTAGGGAAAGGAAGGCCAATTACCTTGGCCCCGCCCCAGTGGCTGACACGTCACCGGGGTCCCGCCCCCTCAGGATGAGCCGCTGTTAGTCCCGCCCCCTTGTAACGCTCTAGATCACCGCCTCCTTCGTGTTGCCTAAGTTTGTGGCCCCGCCTCCTTCTCAAAAAACCCCCCAGACACCGCCTATCTCCTAATCTAAGTCAAACAGGAGCTGTGACCCCGCCCACATCCGGCCGAAGCTCTTGGTCCCGCCTACATCCGAACAGAGACCTCCGAAATAAACCGAAGCTTGTGGCCCCGCCTCCAAACTGCCACCGGTTCTGCCCGAAGGAACCCGAAGCGGAGGCCCCGCCTCCTCCCGGTCCCGACACGTCCCTCCGAGCCCGAAGCTCCGGGCCCCACCTCCTTCCAAGCTCGAGGCCCCGCCTCTTTGCGTGCTCTGGGCTCGGCTGCCGTGAGGTCCAGGTGCAGAGGCGGAGTGGTCCTCGCGGGCGCTCGGAGCCGGCCGCGTCCCTGCCGGGCCCTCAGCCTGACGGTGCCGCGCACCCGGCCCCGGACCGCGACAGAGCGGCGCGCGCTCGGCGGGGGAGGCGTGGCCGGAGCCGGGGCGCCCGTGGGCCGGGACTGCTTGGCCGCGGCGGGGGCGCTTCGGGGCCGAGGCGGGGGGCTGCGGACCCGCCGGCCGACCGGGGCTGGCGTGGAGCCGAGAACGCGGCCGAGAGGGGAGTGGCGTAACCGCCTGTGGCTCAGCCGAGGAGGTCTGACCTGCAC